CTCTCTCTCTCTCTCTCTCTCTCTCTCTCTCTCTCTCTCTCTGTGTGTGTGTGTGTGTGTGTAAGTGCTTTTGGAGAATCTTTGCATTTACTTTTGCGTTGTATCTGTATTCTGCTAGACATTTAACATTTGGTTTTGGATGTGGGCTGCTTTTCGGATGTGAGCAGATGGTGCAGCGCTTTGAGCTTCCAGATGACGCAAGTGATGTTACAGCATTGGCGTTGACGGAGGATAACACGAACTTGATTGTGTCAACTTCAGACATGCAGTTGCTTGTGTACACGGACCCCAGGGTAAGACCATATCAGTTTTCCTGAAACGACCATTGTCAAGTGCGCGAGAGGTTATGCCGCACCTCATAGAGGAGAAAAAACATCAACTGTGCTCAAATGCTCGGCCTTCTGGCTCAAATGCTCGGCCGTCTGGCTCAAATGCTCGGCCTTTTGCCTAAGATCAACTGTAATATCTGTTCTGTGCTCCATCAGACCACATAGAGGAGAAAAAAGAAGAAAATGGGAAAAAAATGCGGCCGTCAATGCTTCAGTAGAGTTAGCTGTGATGGAGGTGTTGGGATACTTCGCTGTAATTCCTCCTTTTCTTTGCGTTTATGTTTTGACAGGGAAGCAAGAATTCGCTGTGATGGAGGTGTTGGGATACTTTGTTGTAGTTCCTCCTTTTGTTTGCATTTATCATTGATCCGGCAAAGATATTTGTTTTATTTTTTTACGAGACGAATTGATTGCTGACGTACTTGTTAAAACTGTTTCCAATGTTTTCTTAGGGAAGCAAGAATCAGTAAGCGGAATTTTTTCTGCCTTTTGTTTGCTACTTGAAAGTTGAAACGACTTCTCATTTTTTTTCTCAATTTATGCGTGTCATCTTTGCGCAGGGGCCATTTTAGTCTTTCTTTTTCATTTTTTTCTCCATGTATGCGTGTCATCTTTGTGCAGGGCCATGTTAATCTGTCTGTGTATCGGTCCAATTTCCACATATGGCAGAATTAGTAAGCGGATTTTTTTTCTGCCTTTTGTTTGCTACTAGGAATTGTTACCTGTGCTTGAAAGTTGAAACGACTTCTCATTTTTCTCTCAATTTATGCGTGTCATCTTTGTGCAGGGGCCATGTTAGTCTTTCTTTTTCATTTTTTTCTCGATTTATGCATGTCATCTTTGCGCAGGGGCGATGTTAGTCGTTCTTTTTCATTTTTTTCTCGATTTATGCGTGTCATCTTTGCGCAGGCCCGATGTTAGTCTTTCTTTTTCATTTTTTTCTCGATTTATGCGTGTCATCTTTGTGCAGGGGCGATGTTAACCTTTCTCTTTATCGGTCCAATTTCAACAGATGTTCCGAAGGACGAGTTTTACATTTTTAATTGGTTGGTGTGTGGGTCTGCTGGCAGGTTAGTGTAATCAAGACTGACCAGATGCTGCGGTTGGGATGGGAAGGTGCGGGATTATCAGGCCTCATGACTTGAGGGATGAGTATTGGAAAAGGAAGGGCCGAGAGTGCTCAATGCGCGTGCTTGGGGGACAAAATTGAGGGGAATGGTGAATCTCCGTAGCTCCAGGTGAGAAGATCGTTAGTCGGCGCATGAGGGTTGCTGTAACAAACAGCAAATCATGCCTGTGTGGGAGGCCAACAGGGGCGCCTGAAAGAGGGAGGGTGATATCCGGAATAGGATGTGTGATGGGCATCTGCCAGGGAAATGGGGAGGAATTTATTTGTATCAGAGGATCTGAGGTGGCTCATTCGCCCAAGGAGAGAGAACCCAGAGAAGTGTGCGCGGGCAGAAGAACGGAATTGTTGGAATGTTGTCACCATGCTTCATTTGCTTTCGTTTGCATAACTAGAGATCCTCTTAGGTTGTGTTTGATATGTGTGTGTATGCGTTCATGTGTGTGTGAGTGAGAGAGAGTTTGAGAGAGAGAGGGAGAGAGAGGGAGGGAGGGAGGGAGAGGGAGAGGGAGAGGGAGAGGGAGAGGGGGAAAATTGGTTCTTTATGAATTCATAATGAGCATTTTACTGAAAAGTTTGGGCATTGCATTCAAATTCAGGTCCATGAACCTGGTCTGAAAGAAAACCAGGTGAACAGGAAATGAGAATGCCGGTAGGTGGTCAATGAGTGGTGCTGATGTTTAGGTGAAATACAGGAGAGTAGGTGGGCATGGATGGCTGGGAAGCTCGTTACCTTAGTGCTGAGCTGGAGAAAGTCTTGGCATTCTGGAAGATTATGTCGGTCTCGGACCAGCGGCAAGTGGTTTGCTGTGACCTTTAGTCGATGACTGACTTGTCCCGGGTTGCCTTGATGGCTTAGAGAAGGTGAGGAAGAGGAGGGTGGGCAGGGCCCCCGGGTTTTTGCCTTGACGGTAGAGAGAACCTGAGGAGGAGGAGGAGGAGGGTGGGCAGGGATGACGATGGTTGGCATTCTTTGGGTGACGACAATGGGTTTATCGAGGTCGAGGTGCGTCAAGATTTGTTGACAACAAGGTATGAAGTACTACAAACAGGTCGAGAGCGGATGTATGTCGTGTTCGTCTTCAATGTCATCAACGCCGAAATCATTGCTGGTATCGAAAGCTTCCTGTGGCATCACGTCGCATGCACTTTGACAACAGTCTGAGGAAGACTGAGGAAGCGGATGCTGGGCACGGCTGAAGTCGACTTCAATGTCATCAACGCCGAAATCATTGCTGGTATCGAAAGCTTCCTGTGGCATCACGTCGCATGCACTTTGACCACAGTCTGAGGAAGACTGAGGAAGCGGATGCTGGGCACGGCTGAAGTCAGTCGGCAGCCTTCGGCCAACGGCAATGGCTTCCTCATGGTCAAGGTGCATCAAGGTTTCTTCAACAACAAGGAATTCCGAACTGGTCAGAGCATGCCCCTGACCTCGGGCAAAGCAGAGATATCCCTGTTCCTCGATGTCATCAACAAGAAATCGTTGTTGGTATCGAAAGCTCACATTGGATGCGCTTCGACTGTCCGACAACAGTCGGAAGAAGGCAGTTCTCCGACTGTCGTCGAGCGGTTGAGGGTGAGCATGTGTTGTTGTCAATTGGTCGTACAGTCGGTGGATGCAGTACTGATGGCATCGCCTTGATGAAGCATACGCTAGTTGGATTGGTGGGCACTGTTAGTAGCGGTTGCCCACAAAGGGGTAGTTGCAGCTGTCAGTGATTGTTTACGGCAATAGCAGTTACAGCATGCAGGTGGGGAAGGGTCTGCGCATGGGCCTTCATTCTCCGCAGAGTTCTGCAGCTATCCGAGCTGCAAGCAGCTCTCGCTGAGAGTGGAGAGTGGAGAGTGGCAGAGAGCCAGGTGCTGCAGGCGGATGCCGTGCAGGGACGAGTAAGTGAGCCGGCAGGGCACTGAAAGACGGGAGTAGATGCCAGAGGGAAACTGTCATGATGGAAGAAGGGGTTGTTGATGGTTTAAAGTTCAGCACTGGTAGTTGTAGGCTGAAGTCAATGCAGGAGGCTCTTTGACTGGAGCGTACATAACGCCATTGCCTCTGTCAGGGCAGGTATTCAATCAGCTGTGCCGATAAGTTGATTTGTTGGGAAAGCATTTGGATGACGAATCAGCTCATTCCCAGGAGTGGAGTAGGCCGGGGAACTGGTCTTGGGAGCAGGGGGAAGGATGGGGACGGAGAGTGAAGGAAGAGTGGGGTGAACAAACTTACCTGACTGGTGCATTGAGTTGTTCTCAGGGAGAATTATCATTTCGTACCATATCCGTGTTTTTTTTTTTATGTTCTGTAGGGTTGCCATGCATACAGGAGATTTTTTCCTCTCTGGTTGATAATGAAATTTTTTATTCACAATTTTATGCGCACACTCTGTCTCAGCATAGCCATCTCTCCTGTGAAGTCATTTCTTGTTTTTCTGTCTGTTAGAGCGGCATGCATGGCATTGCATGCTGCCAAGTCCCCAGCGGCGAGTCAAAGCTTCAGTCATGATTTGGACACAAACTTGCAGAGAAGGGTTCAAAATCTTTCCAGCTCAGCGCACCATTGAGCATAAGACTTGCGTCTCCCTAGCATTTGATGCTTTGACACTCACTGCATATCCTATGGACACCACTCTTTAGAGATCCGTTGGAGCGCTATGCGTTAACAGGATGGACAAGTGTACAGAAGGGGCGAATGGGGCGTGCTCCACCAGTCTCCATTCTGCGTATCTTGAGAGGCTGCACGGGTTGAGTGGGGCTCACTCCACCACTCTTCATTGTGTTTTCCGGGGGCGCGCACGGCTCCACTCTTGATCAGAAAAGAGCAATTCAGAGTCCTCTCATAAAAACGAGAGAGACCAACTAGCGTGGCACAGTCGGTACTCCATTCTGCGGATTTTGAGAGACTGCGCGGCTCCCCTCTCGATCAGGAAAGAGCATTTCAGAGTCCTTTCATAAAAATGAGAGAGACCAACTGGCCTGGCGCAGTTGGTACACACCTGAACTGTTGACATGCGGACCTGGGTTGGAACTCGTTGTTTTTGAAAGAAGGCTTGCAGCCAGAAAGTATCTAGATGGCGTTGTTTTTGAAAGAAGGCTTGCAGCCAGAAAGTATCTAGATGGAGGGGAAGAAAAAAATCATGATTGTGCTCTTTGGGGCATAGAAAGAAGATTGGCGGACAATAGAGAGGTGTGCCATGTGTGTGACATCAAGGATGACACACGGAACTCGAGGAATGGTCCAAAAGTGGCAAAAGATAAAAAATGTGTGCCATGGGTGTGTGACATCAATCCAAACTATTGTGTGTGCCATGTGTGTGACATCAATCTAAATTATTGATTTTGTGGCATAAGGTCCAACACAAACGTGCTTTCAAAAAAGCTTCACAGCCCATTTCTCTATCGAGGGCAAGCCCCGGTAGCCCTGAACATCGATATTAACAAAAACAACAAGATGTGGAGGCTGTGGGGCGAGAATAAGGACACCAAGGGTTGATGACAGACCGTTTCATTTGATGCTCGCCAACTCTTGAGGAGGCGGAGCCCTGCAGAAACCCCATATTGATGCTTTTGAGACGTAGTCAATTGTCCATGTTTGTGTCTGGTAGCCAGTAAGGTTTGGTGGCAAGACGAGCAAAGGTGGCAAGACGAGTATCAATGCCGAAGGGGCAGCAGTAACCCACAGGGTGGGGCCAAAACCGCAATCCTTGTGAGTCGACAGCGGGGCAGGTGAGCGGACAGCGAGGCGGGTAGCAAAGCATAGGGCAGGCAGGTGGGCAGGTGTTGAGCACGGAGGCGGAGGCAAACACCAAAGCAGTGAGCCAAGTTGCGGTCAGGCACATGGTCCAGCAAATTCAATCAGGTAGGCGGGCAGCCAGACAGGCGGCAAGGCAACCAAGCAAGTGAGCAGGTAAGGGAAGAGGGGGACCTGCACAGAAACACAAGGCAAACAGATAGACGATGCGAAGCTGGGCGTAGTATGCAGAGGGCAATTGGCAATGCGAAATAGTACACGGGGCAAATGGGCAAGCTGGCGGGTACGCCAAGCAAGGAGATGGGCATCAAAACAATGCGAGCAGATGAACAGCCGGGCAGCATTGCAGCACTCAGGGAGTACGTGCAAACGACATGGATGAAAGCAGATCATCAGCTACTTACACCACAAATAGAACTGTACACTGATTGTGTTGCGGGGGCGGCCCTTGCATTTGTGTAGGTCTGACTATGGCCTCATTTTCTGAAGGTGTAGTTGCAGGGAGAACACTGATTGTGTTGCGGGAAACCGGTGCACTTCTCCACTGCCACTTGCAGGTTGAAATGTTTCAGGGCGAAGAAGTCTCGAATTCACCTAGACTACCTGCTTACTTCTCTTAAGCCACTTCTCTTAAGCCTATACAGTGCACCCCTGCAAGCATAGCTACCACTCACAATCAAGATGATGCATGTCACCCATTGCCGTAATCGGTGGCGGTTGTTTGCAGGGAGGGTCATCTAATGCAAAGAGGGAATATTTTCCTAGTCGCTGTGCCTCTCATCTACTTCGCCTGCCTCCTTGGGGTAACATCTGGTGGTAATTGACAAGGTCCAAAAGCGTTCTAGCTTGTTCTCGTAGGACCTTAAAGAGGGGCCAAAAAGGTGCCCACACAGTGGACATCAGTCAGTTTCCAATTTGTAAAACATTGCACCCGTTGTCCCCACACGTCATTGTACCATCGCAAAAAGAAAGTCTAAGCATGGTCGAAGTATGCATCTTGAGACCCTCTCAGCCAGAGTTCGATCTTAAACCGCCAGTACTTGGCCCATACATCGGCTGTGGGGCATTGCCGCGAACGCCTGTTAACTTCTGGATGCTCGGGGTACCGGCCCTCAAAGGCTGACGCCGCCAGCCAAGACGAGTTTTTTTTGTTGTGCTGGCGGGTCGGTGCAAAACGGTGCGCAGCCGGTTTTCAGGCTCGGCATCGATAGCTGGGCCGAGTACTAAATTACCGAAATGTGTTATTCCCAATCTAAAGCACCCTTCTTCCATTCATAAACAAAACCAATAGTTAAAATCAATAAAAAGACCATCATATACCAAAATTCAAACAATCCTATTTTATTGAAAGAAACTCCCCAAGGAAACAAAAAAGTAACTTCATACGCGGAAGACAAGCCTCTCCATCAGGCATGCTAGAAATGCTTCTGGCATGGTATGGAAAAGGTCGAATTCTGAATGCCTTGACCTCCTGAATGACACTTATGCCTAACCAACTGAGCTAGGCCACTTGTTCTTGTGGTGATTGTTCTCGCTCAGAATAATGTGCCAAATAATATGGGAAAAAGAAACAGGCCTTGTGATATCAGAAAAATAAAGTGAAAGGATAATTTGCAATATAGATATACGTCAAAATGCCCAAAATAGGGCTCGTAATATCATAAAAATGAAGTATAGGGCAGGTCGACTTGTCATCCTTTCAAATATATCCCCTTTCAAATATATCCCCCAGAGATGAGATATACGGCAAAATGCCCCTTTTGTGAAACATACTTCGTTAAATACCCCTTGCAGGTTGACCTGTCATCTTTTCAATATACTGAATATGCATAATATTCCAGTCGTTGTAAACTTCCTGTGGGCCTACTGCGATTTTTGAAATGTAGGGACCTTGGCCATGTTCTCATTCTGCCACTTTGGAGGGGCAGCCATGTTCTCTCTCTCTCTCTCTCTCTCTCTCTCTCTTACAGAAACATTCTCTCAAAGATACGCCTGTGTACGGAAACGCGATACGTATGTATATGGAGAGGGAGCGAGAGCCTCACTTTTTGACACAATTTTCTTGTACCTGGCGCTGTTGATGGAGCAGATTCATTTAGAAATATATCCAACCGATGATGCATTGAAAATGTTGTGCAGTGGAGCAACAGCTGTTGCCGAACATATCCGCAAGAGAGAGAGAGAGAGAGAGAGAGAGAGAGAGAGAGAGAGAGAGAGAGAGAATCAATTGCATCCATCTTTTTTTCTTTTTTTTTTGGGGGGGGGCGGGGCGAGCCATTGATGTGTCTGTATGTGTGCGTTGGTCCTGTTCGTGTGTGTGTGCATCTGAGAGAGGGAGAGAGAGTTGTTGGCATGTTTCTTGTGTGCATGCATGTGTTTGTGTGTGTGAAGTGGGGGATCCAGAGTGCCAAACTTGTAGGTCTAGGTATTCCGGGGACTTGCGGACTTGGTATGATGAACAAGCCGGGCAAAAGCCTGGGACACCTGGGCAAACAAAAGGGGGAGCAAAAAAAAAAAATGGCGGTGGGGGTTTTCCATGCTCTTGGAGAGGAGCACAAATCCGGGCTCTTTTCTTTTTGAGTGCTGGCTTTATAGGGGGGGTAAGGGGGGTGTAAGTTATTTTTAGAGGGGCTAAAGGGGTAAAGGGGTTTAAAGGGGGGTGCTTTGGTGTGATTTGGTTTTTTTTTTTTTTTTCCTTCAGTTCCATGAGGAATTCTGATGTGACCCACTAAAAGTTGTTTGTATTGCAATTCTACATGTCATATGTTTTTCGAGGGTTTTTTTTTTTTTTTAATTTTGGGTGTTGGGGCAGTCCGGGAGTCGTGCCTGGCCGGTCACCCGGGCGTGTTTCCGGGCACAACTTGGGTGGCCAGGAAAACGGCCTAGAAATGAAGTGTTTACAATCTGCGTAGCACGCCGAACATGTTCGGCATCCCACAAAGCAGCCAAACATGCTCGAACGCTTGGCCAAGTGGGAACTGAAAATGTTCAGCCGAGTGCAAATTAGGGGGCTGCTGTGTGGTGTTTGGTGTGTGGGGTGTGTGTGGTGTGGGGGGCGGGTGTCAGGGGTGTATGCGTGTGTGTGTGGAGGGTGTGTGTGTGTGTGTGTGTGTGTGTGTGTGTGTGTGTGTGTGTGTGTGTGTGTTCACGAGTGTTGAGGAATGCCCCGTGGGGCCCCCCAGCCCTATAGATAAAAAAAAAGAAGTTTGGGCGCGGTCGGTTGTGAGCCACGTTCGGGCTCGGTACCGAGCGTTCGGATTCGGTCACCGAGACGAAACCCAATGCTACACAGTTTACAACCTTCAAATGAATTCTTGCAAGAAATCATTTGTTTTCGGTTTGTTTTGTTCTGTTTTGTTCAGCATTGGATTAATGGCATCCAATAGGTTGAAACGATGCTAAACTTGGAGGCTTCAATATAGGGACCCACTTCAAAGGGATGCTTTCATCAACCTTTTAAGTGGGGGCCCTTGGCCTGGAGTTTGTTAGTAAAAACAAAAAAACACCTACTTGATTTCTGTGAAATTATGTTTGTTATCCTTTAAAAGGAAATGTTTCGGGGGGGAAATGTTGAAACTATAGTACTCACATTGGACATTTGTTAAACTTCTGAGGAATGTTTATGGTTATTGCACAAAATTATCACAAAAGCAACAATGATTGATCACAATAATCATGAAATTTGATTTAGTTTTTTAGTAAACTTGTTACTTAGAAAACGATCCTCTTTCTATTGAGCTTTGGAGGTACTAGGAAGTCGTAGACCATCTAGAATGAACAATGGGGACCAAAAAAATTGGAGGTACCATATAGTCTTAGATTATCAAGCCTGAATTTCACTGCGCACTGAGTTTTGCTGAGCCTGGGCAGTTCCATCTGCGAAAGAACATAAAAACGAAAAGAAAAGGAAAAAAAAAAGAAAAAAAAGCACTTCCCTAACACCTCGATATCCATCAGATGCATTCTACGAGGTGCCAATGTGATTGCACCCTCAGCAAGGGCGTCTGTCCACTGACACGAAACCAAAAAGAAAAAAAAAACATGCTTTATGTTGTGATTACGGCCACAGATACAGGAAGCTACAATACTACAAGATAGTGAGGTCGTTAGCTGCCTGCCGTGGAATCTGCCATGCCTCACTGGCAGGGCACGTAAGGAAGCGAAAGCAACAAAAACAAAAATGAAAACATCAGCGATCAATTTTTCGCACGTTCTGGCCAGATACATTCCTCAAAGCACTGGTTTGACTTCCACGTTCGTGAGGGCCTTCCCCAAAATCGCTGGATTTTTATTTTTATTTTTCTTAAAAAACTGTTGCCTTGCCTGCCCTGAGCATCAGACTCTGACGAGTAGGTTACTAGATGGACTTCACGTTTGCCTGTGAAAGGTGTGAAAGGTACTGGTGGTCTTAAAAAAGTTTTGGAAACAAATACATTTATTGGGAACTTCCAGATGTATCAGCGAACAATATCAAAAGAATCAATAATATGTTTGCGCTTTTAGGGTTGTCGCAAGGTGAATGTTCACATCCAACAACGTTGTAACAGTCCACCAAGGTTAAAATTTCAGGTTGGACAAACTAAAGTGCGTAGAAAGTTTTTTTTTTAACGAAATAGGTACAGTTGTGGTGATGAAGTTGCCATATTTGTTTTTAAGAATTTCAATTTGGTGGTCAATAATCTTAAAAAAACAGGGGACTTATATT